TGTGTGTGTCTGTGTGTGTGTGTCTGTGTCCGTGTGTGTGTCTGTGTCTTTGTGTGTCTGTGTCTATGTGTGCATGTCAAGGCCAGAGGTCAACCTCAGGTGTCATTCTTCAGGGACTGTTGTTCCCTTACTTTTGGGAAGAGGATCCCTTGGGGAGCTCACTAATTTTGCTAGACTGGCTGTCCAGAGATCCTCTTGTCACCCCACTGAGGCGTGGGATGTAAGCATGTCACTTTAGATGCCTTGATCAATTCAGCCAAGGAGAAAGTCCTCATGATAACAGCACAGTTGAGCAAATTGCCTACAGACACACAGGGAAGCATAGAGACAGGCACAGTTTGCACACGGCCCGGCAGAGGCAGAGTCCGATTCATTGAAGAGCTTGTTCCTCAGCTTGATTGGGTCCAAACTCTCCTTAGCATCTCCCGAGTGGAACAAAGATAAATTATGGGCAATGTGCCATGATCTATGAGGGAAATAAAACAAGATATGACATTTAGCAGTTCATGGTGACCAACAGTCCTGCAAGACAAACAGAAAACTTGGTAACTAGAACCCGGGCCTCCAGATTTCAGGATCTAATTACGTGTGTTTGCGTGGATCCCAGCAGCAGAGAGGAGCAGAGTCAGCACTCCTCGGGCACCTACTTTTCATGTGGATGATAATGAACCCGCATGTGGCACAAACAAAGCCACCCTGCCCTTCCCCAGGCACTACTGATGGCTGTTTATCCAGAGAGTCAGAATACATTGCTACTTTTCCTATTTGCCAAATGAAAAAAAAAACAAAACACAACACAAAACAAAAACTCAGGGCTAATTTTCAGTGGAGCAAGAAGTCATGAGTGATCTTGAGTTTCCCTACCGCTTGGGTCAGTACCGTTTCTGGGGTTTATAGTACTGACTTAGCTGTACGTCCCTCAGATGTTGACTATTCACTGTCAGCTTTACAGGATCAAGATGAAGCCCAGGCCATGACTGTGATGGAGCTTCTGAGATTAAGTTACCTGAAGTAGGAAGACCCGCGCTGAATGAAGCTCCATCCCGTGCGCTGGGATCCAGGGCAGAATAGACAGGAGAAAGTGAGCTGAGTACCACATTCATCTCTCTGCTTCCCGGCTGGCCATGCTGTGTGAGCAGCAGGCTCAGGTCCTGCTGCTGTACCTTCCCTGAACCCCCATGAGCAAAATCAAGCCCTCCCTCCCTCCCTCAGGTTAGCTCTGTCAGACAGTTTGTCCCAGCGGTGAGAAAAGGAGTACTGACCGCTCCTCTCTGCTGCTGGGATCCACGCAACACACGTAATTAGACCCTGAAATCTGGAGGCCCGGGTTCTAGTTACCAAGTTTTCTGTTTGTCTTGCAGGACTGTTGGTCACCATGCACTGCTAAATGTCATATCTTTTGTCCCTTTGCAGCCTCAAAGGGGAGGGAGACACACCAGCAGTGGATCCAAGTTTTGTCTCCATGCAAGTATTGTTCCACCCTCTCCCTACTGTTCCCTCTTTCAGGCAAGAAAACTGAGGCCATTTTCCCAGGGTCATCACTAACAGGCTAGAATACCTGCTCAGGCTCACTGCCTCTGAAGCCCAAATTGTCATCAACACAATGCCAACTGTTGGTAACATGAATTTGTTCCATGTGTTCGGTAAGCATGAGTACCAGAACGTGAGGCAGCCCTTAGCAATTTGCCCAGTCATAAGGTACACCCATGGGAGGACCTGCCGTATGCCAGAGGGAGGGAGCTCCGCAGGCCACATCCCACACCCCTCACTATCATTCTCCATCACCCATGTCAGCACTGATTGCATCATGCTCTCTCTCTGTGCCCAGACAGAGTCTCAAGGTCTTTCTGAGCACTCCGATAGGAAGTCACTAGCAAAGCAGAAGTGATGTAGGAGGTTTGACAGGATGCGCTATACATGGACACTTAAAGAGTGGACAGTGCAGATTGCTTCCCAAGTCTGCGTCCAGTGACGTGACATTGGTGGGTCAGCATGGACCATGGTGGGTGCATTTATGCCTCAGAACTGGGTAGAGGCTGCCCAGCAGAGCCTTTGCCACAGAGAGCTATCTCAGCAGCACACTGCTGCCCACACCTCTCCTGATCCCAACCTGACATTTTACAACCTCGGGGATCAGCTTTAGTAGCCCTCATTTTACAATGTGGATCATGTCTGGCCAAGGTCAGGCAGTAGCCAGAGCAGAGCTGGGAGATGAGCTCCAACCTCCTCTCTGTGAAGAGTAACAGAGAGTGGGAAGAGCTCACAAAGCCCTCTGCAAATACAAGAGATTATTATTCCTGTCACCGCCATGACTGCCAGGGAGACAGAGCCAATGATTCTGAACTGCTGCAGTCCAGCTGGCTCCGGGGCTAGCAATTTCAAAGCTACCCACAGTGGAATCCCCAGGTCTAGCTCCTTTCTCTTCAGCTAAGAGCCCTTATAATGCAGTCCCCTAGCAGCACCCACACATCACTGTCTCAGACTGCCCTGGACTGACAGGCTTTCTTCCAGAGCAGCAGAATCTGCTCTAAGGGGCTCGGATGTGCTTTTATAAGACCACAATTTCCTTTTCTCCTAACACAATTTTAATTAACCATTTGAGAATTTCATACAATTTATTTTTATTATATTCATCACTCTCTCCCAACTCCCCCCATCAGATCTACCCTCCCCCATTCCCTACCCACCCAACTGTGTTCATTGTGTGCAGCCCATATACTCTTGGGTGGGTGGCCATCTACTGGAGCATGGTCAACCTACCAGGGGCCACATTCTTAAAACTGACTCACCCTCTCCCAGAAGCTGTGAACTATTACTACCTATTTGTATGTCCAGGATGACACGCACTGCATTCTAAATACTTATCCCACTGGTAAAACATTCCCTCCTCATCAAAGAAGAGTCTCTCCCCAGCAGAGACCCTTACAGAAAGCCACAGCTAACCAAAATACAGAGAACTAATGGTGGGTGCCCAGCCACAAGTGATACATCTACTACCACCCTTACAGCTAAGGTTCAGGGAGCATTGAGAAAGAAATGGTGGAAAGATTATTAAGAGCAAGAGGATCAGAATGTCTGCTGCAATATTGCATCTTCTAGAAGTGACAGGGGAGTTACATCCATGAAATCTCAACAATATGGCTGCTTAAACAATGCCTGAGCAATGGTGTTAGTTGGCATGCAACATGGATGTGGGAAGAGCTACCAGAAACCAAAAACTGCTGAGAGAGATGGCGAAAGAGAAGAAGAACTAGTCTTCACTGGAAAAGAGCACCCTAAATAACTATCCAATGCAAGTGGTCAGCCCTAAAATGTATACACACAAACAACATTAAATGGACTCAGCAGGTAGCATTGAATATTTATTTGCATATATATGTGTGTGCATGTAACAATGATAATTAAAGAATAAGAGCTCATAAATTTGAAAGGAAGCAGAGATCCATGGGCAGAGTTAGAATAAGTAGAGGGAGGGGAAGTTATATTTTAATTAAATAAAAATAAAAATTTTAATTAAAACTTTGTGAGATCTCAAATTAATAACTCAACGATGCACCTTAAGGCCTTGTAAAAACAAGAACAAACAACATCCCCGGCAAGAAGTAGATGGAAAGAGATCATCAAAACCAAGATCTTAATTGTGCTGCTCCAAGTTTAGCAGTCAAACACAAGATGTGACTGCAAGGACTGCTTCCCCATCATGTCTGGGTCTAAAAACATTTACAAACATCCTTAGCTACTTTTCACATTGCCATTGCCACCAAGTTTCTGACCAAAATAACCTCAAGAAGGGGGTTTGGCTCCCAGTTTCGGGGCATTCTGTCCTCTGCACTTCATCCTACACACTTAGGCAGAACTCCATGGTGACAGGAGTGTGGCAGGAGAGGCTGTTCACCTCATCGTGGGCAGGAAACAGATATGGATCACACTGTGAACCCGGAGTTGGCACTTCTTTCAATTAAATAAAATCAACATTGGGTCAGGAGGCTGAGTTAGCAATTAGTTGACAGAAATTAATCATAGAGCCTCGGAGGGCATCTGGGTGAGACAGAGAGACACAGGAAGTAGTAGGGTGGGTTTGGAATGGCATGGCTTTTCCAGGTGTGGTGAAGTGGAAGCACAGGTCTTCTGGAGACACCAGCAAGGAGGGAAACTTAGTTAATTGCAACCCAGCCTCTCTGAGCTAGCAGGTTTTCACTCCAGCCTTTGAATCTTGAGTCTTATTTATAAATAGAATGATAGAGATTTAGTTAAAGTCACCTTTAGAAGCAGCGTCAGAGCTGGTGCCTGTTGGCATTTAGGCATCTGTCCTGGCCTGCCCTTAGGGTCCTGTAGAGGATATACCTCAGTTGTAGCCACTAAGAGCACCTCTATGCATGTTCACTGTGCTTCCTTATAAAAGGTGGGCTTTGCCCACCTCCCATCTCTTTCTCTTCCTTCACTCTCATCCTCAGGGATCGGTCTCTGCCCCCTTCTCTCCTCTCCCCTCAATAAATCTCCCACATGGGCCCTGTTGTATGGTGTGACTCCTTGCTGTTTTTTAAAATACAGTAGTACCTGTGGGAACAGGATTCCTACCAGGCTAAGGCCTGAGCAGCCAGGCCACCGCCGGAGAAGCAGGCCAGTAACTGCAGTCACAGTTGCTGGCTGAAAGAGCAGTAGATTACGGTGCAGCCACTGTGCTGAAGTGAAAGCAACGGTGTCCTTTGAGATCCAGTTCTCTTCACATCCGGCAGGATGGTGTTGGGGAAGAGGTCACAGAAAACCTAAAACTCTCAGCAATTGCTCGCACCCATCCTTGTTGCATCCTTCCACCCTCTCAAGAACACTCCGAAGGAAATGTTGCTGTGTCCTGTTCCTCAGAAGGGAAACTGGTGCTTCGGGAAGGTGACTTGCACAAGAATGCACAGCAATGGAGAAGCGGAAGGGTACACACATCTGGACAGCTAGATTCGGATCCGTTATTTGCTTGACTGAGAAGCATTTCCCTGAACTGGTTTTAAGGGGTGGGTAGGAGTTATCTGATTGGGAAAGAGAACATGAGAGCTTTTCAGCTCAGAAGCAGAAGAGCATGTGGCTGTGTGGAGGTTGTTCTAGGATTCTGAATGAAGAAGGTAGTAAGAGACTGGGGAGGTGGTTCAGAGTAAGAGTACATGACGACCTGAGTTTGGATCCCAATGGAAAAACCTGGCATCACAGCTACATACACCTGTAGCCCCGGCACTGTGGAAGGCAAAGACCAGAGGACAGCTGGGGCTTGCTGACAGCCAGCCTTGCTTCAGGTTCAGTGAGAGACCCTGTCTCAAGGGAATAAAGTGGAGAGTGACACCAATACTCAACTCTGCTCCCCCATACACACACCACGAACATACACCACACACACACACACACACACACACACACACACACACACACGTGTGCGCACACACACACACACACACACACACACACAAGGGTATATGTGCTAAGTGTTTGGCTGGCACCTGGCCCACTTGCCATTTTGCAGGACTGGGAGTATTCATTATGAAGAGTAAGGCTGGAGAGCAAATCAAAAGACTAGATGTGGAGGACTTCAACGGTCCGTTAGGAATTTGCAATCAATCCATCTCCAATCTGAATCATGGAGGTAAGGAGTGGGGCAAGAAAGAGCAGAGCCTCGAAGGGTGCCATTTGTAAACATCAAGTTTTCTTTTAAAAGCCATGTGAATGCTGTTTCTTCCTCTGTAACTCATTTCATCTGCTGCTGTAAGATAAATATGTTTAGACCATCAACCATCAAGCAACAGGTGATGCTGCCTCTCTGAACTCAGCACCACTGACATCTGATCCCAGATCATCCTCTACTGTGGACTGTATCACAGATGCTCAGCAGCATCCCTGGCCAGTCCCAAACCCTTCCTCACCCAGATTGCAATACCATGGTGATATCTGTGGTCTGTGCTGCTACCTAAAGCCATGTCAATGTCTGTAGGCTCTGCTGCCACCTGGGGCCATGTTGATGTCTGTGGTCCATCTGTGGTCTCTGCTACCACCTGAGGCCAGGCTGACGTCTATGAGCCCGGCAGTCACTGGGATCCATATTGGTGTCCATGGCCCATGTTACCCTGGAGGCCACACTGATGTCCTTGGCCTGTGCTGCCCCTGGAGACTGTGATGGTGTCTGTGGCCTGTGCTCTGGCAGAGGGCTGTGTTGATGCCAGTAGTCTGTACTTCCACCAGGGACCAAGCAGAGGTCCTTGCCACATGCTGATGCTGGAGAGTATGGTTCGTGGTCAGTACTGTCACCAGAAACCACATGGAAGCCCACGATCCATGTTCCCGCTGACTGTAAAAGGCAAGGAAGCCACTTTTGCAGTGGCATCAGTGACTGCAGATGCACAGTTGAAAAGGAGGGACGGACAGGGCTTCTGCGACAAACCCCTACCCCACCCCCAAAAAGTGACAGCCTAAAAAGGAAGCTATCAAAGAGAACTCTTAAAAACTGTGGTAAGGATACTGAAGTGCAGCTCCCCAAATTGATGGCTTCCGGTGGGGACGTGGCAGAGACGGACTCAGTTTTGTTTAAGGGACTGGCCACTGGGAGTTTGACCATGCTCCAGTGAGTATATGGACAACACAAATTGGACTCCCCCCCCCCATCCTATTTTTTACTTCTTTCTTCTTTGGGAGCATCACAACGGTGGGGGCCAAACATGGGAGGACTGGGAAGTGAGTGTGATGGGGTGCATGATGTGAAATCCCCAAATAATCAGTAAGGATATTATGTTGGAGGAAAAAAGATACACAGCTATAGAGAGTTAATAACCCGAGAGATGATAAACCAAGCGTCTTGGACTCCAAGCACTTCACCCCGGAGCTGCACCTGTCTCTCTCCAAGATGAAGGAGGCCACATTCTGCTCTCAGTACCAGAGCCAAAAAGCCTTGAGGGGTACACATCCCAGCCTGCTTCATAGGACCCCCACCTGAAACCTCACACTGGCCTTCCACAGAATCGTGCCTGCAGACTATCACAGCCTCCTCTTTCCTGCCCCAAGGAGCCGTCACAGCACTGAGCTGAAGCAAAGATGCAGTTGCTTTTCATAGTGGGCAAGCTTGAGTTTGGCGATCTGTCCTAGGACATGACTTCAGCATACGAGAGAGAGAGAGAGAGAGAGAGAGAGAGAGAGAGAGAGAGAGAGAGAGAGAGACTCAGCACTTCCTGACCTAGAATCCGCCTCTGCTGTCACCCCAACCTATGTAAGTTCACTCCTGATGCAATAAAGCGAGTTCCTGCTTCGACAAGACTCCCGGCCCAGCGTGCTTCTCTCCCGGGGAATGGGGAGGTCTGGGCCGTCCTGACACCCTGCTCAGCCCCAGGGAGAGACCAGCTGGATCCTGCCTCCACCCTACCTGTTGGTCAGATGGACAAAAAGGCTGCTGTCAAACCTCTGAGGCCTTTCGAACCCACTCAGCTCTGCCATTACAGCTCAAAGCAGTCAGAGACAATACACCCAAGAAGAGGCCTGAGTGTGTTTTAAAAACTTCATTCGCCGGGCGTGGTGGCGCACGCCTTTAATCCCAGCACTTGGGAGGTAGAGGCAGGCGGATCTCTGTGAGTTCGAGGCCAGCCTGGGCTACCAAGTGAGCTCCAGGAAAGGCGCAAAGCTACACAAGAGAAACCCTGTCTCGAAAAAAACCAAAAAAAAAAAAACTTCATTCATTTAAAAGCTTCATTCATGGGGAGATGACTCAGTCAGCAAGTGCTTGCCCAGAAAGAGTGAGACCCTGACGTTGGATCCCCAGAAACAATGTTAGAAGCCAGCATATTGTCACATGCCTGAAATCCAGTGATGGCAAGGTGGGATGCAGAGACAGGGGCATCCCTAGATGTTTATACTCATTCTGTCCTGGCCTAACTTCCAAGCCAGTGAGACTTTGTCTCAAACAAACATAGAAGATATCTCAGAACTGACACCTGGAGTTGTTTGCTGACCTCCATACTCGTGTGCACATGCACACTTGCACACAGGAACACACACACACACACACACACACACACACACACACACACACACACATACACGTTGGCCACGCCGTCCAGTGTGTGGTCCCGCCCACTCTAACACCTTGGATCTTTTCCTAATACTGCAGTGAGAGAGGGAGTAAATGTCCATCTTCTAACATCCAGTCTTGCCAAGCACAGAAACAGGTGCTTCAACGCCTCAAAATCATACGCCCTTCTATTTGTTTCCTAAGATTTCAAGCAGAAAGTCCCCAACCCATATGTCTCACAGTTCTGAAGGCCACATGCCCCACATCGGGTGTGAGCTCTCGGGAGGGGTGGGGGGTACCCTGCTTTACCTCTTCCAGATCCCTGTAGCTTCCAGCGTTCCTTGGCTTGTAGGCACACCACTCTCC